GAGAGAGAGAGAGAGAGAGAGAGAGAGAGAGAGAGAGAGAGAGAGAGAGAGAGAGAGAGAGAGAGAGAGAGAGAGAGAGGGAGGGGTGTTTGCTGCGGTTCAGACCGCTCATTCCTGAACTTTTTCAATTGTATATTATTGTAATTTTGAGTGGAACTTTCAATTCGCGCTGTTCATGGACATCGCTCAAGCTTGTGTGAACTTCATCTGAATGTTTTCAAATTGCATGTTGTACTCTGAGTTGAATCTCGCGAGGTTCATTGCAAATGGTTTAGTGCGTGGTTCCTTGTCACAAACTATATATCCTTCATATTCTGAAGTTAACAATAAATACGTTGTTTACATGTTTCCAGTCTTCCCGTTGCAACTCTCGACTCTTTGTTGCTTTTCCTCTGTTGACACTGGGTTTCTTACTAGTTGCATGTTCTCTGAGCAGATATCAGTCACACCTGTGGGTCTGTTGTCGACCTTGCCTGGAGGGTTGCCTGATGCCGTGTCACGCTACATCAATGAAGCAGAGAAAAAACCCTTTCGAGCTCCAGAAACTTCGACTGAGAAAGTTGCTGTCGCCGAGAAGTCGTACAGAACAGTTGTCTGCCACGGGGACCAGTGCGTGATGGTTAAGAGGCAAAATGATAACCAGGCTAAATTAGGGTTGGAACTGAATAAGCTGCTAGCAGGAAAAGTGGTGACACACAGGGCGCCTTCATCATCATTGCAATTGTCTTAAACAGGTCACTGTCTCTGTACCAGTCAGGAGTTACAAGTTCCAACAGAGTTGGATTATAATGTTTCATATTGACCACAAAAAGGGGGAATCTGATGCCGGAAAGAACCGACAAAATTTAAATCCAATACTCATAACAGGGCTCTCTCTCTCACACACACACACAGTAAGGAGCTGGAAGATTGAATAGACCAGTACTTGACTACCTTCTTCGTCCAAGCATAACGCCACGTCATCATGAGTATACCCTAACCCAATGATGATGGGACGTTATGTTTGGGGAAAGAAGGTAGCTTTGGACCAGCAGGCTTCTCTTCAGCACAGAAAGGGAGAATTTCTTCAGCACTTGGTCTCTGATACATGCACGTGAGGAATCTTCAGCACTGGAGAGGAGGCCTCTCCAGTGGTTCCACTATAACATCAATTTGAGTGCTAGATCAGATGTGTTGAGGTCATGGGCACCGATTGTGCACCGATCAAGGTTCGATAGGCCTTGGCAGATTCCATCAGACAAATGATGTGGTTGATTGGTAGGTCTGGGCAGTAGAAGGCAACAAGCTCTGTGTTCTCTAGGAATATGAAGGGATGAGGCTGCCGCAACCCTATTGACGCCATTAGTAACCAGATCCTGTTGTCTGGTATATGGTTGAGATTTCTGACCGTCTGGTCTACATTGTGCTTAAAGCCTGTGGTTATTCTGGCCCTGGCAAATTTGACACCATTCTGTACAGGATTTGTTTTTCCATTTGGCGGTAGGTAGGGGCGGG